AAAATATAATATAAATAAATAAATAAAATAAATAATATATATTAATTAATAATTTTCTTTAAATAATAATAAAATAAAAACTAATAATAACAAAAGAACAAAAAAACACAAAAAACCATAAAACAAATCATTTTGAAGGCTACTTAGGGGTGCCAATGATAACCCATAGGGGTGCCATTAGCCTCCCCCGTTATTTAATGTTCTTGTAGGACTATATTTGAGAAATTAACTAAAAATCACATCTTAATCGTTGATAAATAAATTAGCTGACTATGCTTGATTTGTATAGAGGTGCATATAGCAACACTCAATATAAGGGTATAGTTATAAAAAAAACAACGAGTAAATATCCCTAAAGCTTATTGAATTACAATGGTATGTAGAAAGTCATTCTATGCAACTTAAACCGACCGGTCGTAATTGGATATACAATTGTAATAGAATCGGATCAGATCCAAATTTTCAATATCCAGGTTGGTTCTTGAATGGCAGTTCAGAATCCAATAAAACCGAACAGATCCAATTCATTGACCATTCTATTATCATCTATTCACCCTTGAATTACTTATCCAACTACCCATCGAATTAATAGTTACATATAATTATTAAGATTTTATGATATTATTTTGTAGTGGTTTTTAATAAATTAACAAAATATATGAATATTTGGTTGTAATGGTTAATTAATTGATTGAAAAAAGCGTATCAAAATATTGAATGAATCCAATCTGATCCAATGGATAAGTAATTGTAATATCCAATTGGTGGAACCAATATGATCCAATCATTCATTGGATTTGATTGAAACGGATGTTCAATGTTAATTGAATTGCATCAATTACAAAATCGAACATCCATTGAATTAGATCGGATCAGATCCACTTAAATCCATTAGATGATTTTATGATCGTCAAATAAAGTTTTTTTTTTTCAATAACTCAAAAAATAAACAAAAAAATATGATATAAATTTATGATGTTGTGTGAGGGTATTTTTGTCTTTTTGTTGACTTTGTGATTTTAATTTAAATTGAAAGACATGAGCATTGAATTTTATTTTTTACATTCTTATGCTTTTAAATTGATCTAACATTTATACCAGAATGAATAAGCTCTTTATTTTTAAATATTCCACGTCAGCTATGGTTCACTACCTCCACTGGATATCAACTGTCAAACAAGTCTCCAGCTTGCAACTTATTTTTTAAATAACACGTGTTTTTTCTGTTTCTTTCTGATTGGGTGTTTAAACAGAAACAAAATAACGATTATTTAAGTTTATATTTTTGTCATATTAATTGTAAAATGTTTTTTTATTTGATTTAAATCATTTTTTTGGAAAAAATAACCAAAAAAAAAATAAGTTAATAAGTTAAACTTGTAAATAAATATCTTATTTGAGAATGTAACTTAAAAGTTACGGAAGTATAATAGCGTGCGTATATGTTTTTCTGAACATTCATTTCGGGTTCTTCGTATAAATCTTATGATATGAATATATGCATACATAAAGTATCATGTGAGAAACGTAATAAAAGATCTGGACTATTGATCTTTTTTAATATCAAAATCAGCTATGAATCGTGATTGATTCGATGCATCTCATCCATATGTGAATTCAAGGGTAGAGATCTCTTTTTACGCTTATCACCTCAACTCTCTTTATTACGGAACCCAACCCTATATGCGCGCACGCGCGCGCGCACACACACACACACACACACACACATATATATATATATATATATATAGGGAGAGGTTCATTTTAGAAGTGCTAAATATTTGAGAAGTAAAGAATTGATCATAGCCTTTCATTTGGTCAATATGCACCGCTTTAACTGTAAAATATCGGATAATTTCTCGCATGATATTTTCCCTCCCCCAATATTTTGTATCATTGTTCTCTATGCATGTATAGTTTAAGCTTGAGTAGCAATTTTTCGTCACTAATGCTAACATATTATGCAATAGCTTATATCTCTAATTGTTCAAAATGTTGTGTAATAGCTTTAATTGCTATGCACTAGAACTCGCATTTGTGGACAAATTTCAATAAGAGACATGCATTACGAACAAAAGTGGGTATGGGGTACGAGCAATTTTTAGTCTTTTTTTTGTCATGGACATCTGAAACCTTACGACCGACCTATATATATATATATATATATGTGTGTGTGTGTGTGTGTGTGTGCGCGCGCGCACATGTGTGTCCGTGTGCGTGTGTGCGTGCGTGTTCAAACAAGAAGACGGTCAATGTGTGAGAATATGAGAAGGAATATGAGCCATATAATTCATTAATTAAAAAATACCATAAATTAAGAAATAATTTTAAAAATTAGGATAATTACCATTTAAAATTGGATAAATTTTTAAAGATCTCATTATATCTTTTTAGATTTATTTATCATTAATTTTAATTAATTCGTAATTTTTTATCAAGTTTATATAAAAAAAATCTAAAAACACTTTTGATCACAAGTTTCACCAAATATCACATGTGATATGTACAATTAATTCATATGTGATAATTGTTGATATTTAATTAATCATATATGATTGCATGTGTATATTTAAATTTGTAATTCTTTTTATGATGTAAAAATGCCTATTGTTCCTCAATTTTTTCTTAGCCAAATAGACGTCATAAGGTTGACTGTACCTCTTGAACACTTGCATAGTGACAATAAACCTATCAACAAAGTATTGAAGCGAGCTTAGGTGAAACGATATTCCTCAATTCCTATCTACTAAGTTTCTTATATCGATCTATACGTACTCCATTAAATTGTTATAAAAAATAGAAATTTAAAAGACAAAAATGAAGGAGATCGATGACTAGGCAACAACGATGGTGGGGCTGCAAGGGAGAGCGATGCAGTTAGGTACCAGCTGTTTCAATACCATGAGGTTTGGAAACAATAAGGGCTAGTTTGTTAACAGCTTAATAGAACTCACAGCTTATTCGATCATCTACACATAATAGATGATTGTTTGGTAGTGACTTAATAATATAAAAAAAGACTTATTTGGTAAGTTTTAAGCAAAAAACTAAGTTTTTTTTTTTCAAACGTATCCCTCCGGATTAAAAAAACACGTTTCTTCCATCTATAAAAACAACTCTCACAAACAACAAAACCTTCCAATCTATACCAACCAAACAACCCCTACAACTGATTTATGTCTTTTTTTACTTTAAAATTTTCCTAACTAGTTATAAGTAACATTTTTTGGGTTAAAAGAATGTATGTAACCAATTTTTAAAAGTTCAACGATTTATTTATTATTAAAAAAGTTCGTTAACTAAATCATCTGAAATTAAAAAAAATCAAAGTTTAGTAACTTAATATTTAAAGTTAAAGTTATTTGTTGTAGGAAAAGTGAGTTATCGTCAAAATGATGTGGCGATAGAGATTAGACATGAATATTCAGAGTTATTTATGGAGTAAATCTACTTCCATGTTAAAATGATGTGACGATAGAGATAGCCATAAATATTCAGAATTATTTATGGAATAAATCTGCTTCTATATTTATCATTATCTTTATATAATCTATCGTCTTTATTTAAAAGATTTATTGTTAATAAAAATATACAGTTTTTTCTTTTCTATTTTGTTATTCTATACTACATCATTGAGTTATTTGGGACTATTTCTATATGTATATGTATAATTTATGTATTATGATAAAGATATGGAGTTTCTTATATAATGTATTCTTAATGTTAGGAGTGTGTAGAAAGTCATACGATCCAATATAAACTGACCGATTCAATCAGAACCGACCAACCATAATTGGATATCCAATTGTAACCGATTCAAAATTTCAACATCTAAATCGGATGGTTGATTCTTGGATGAGAGTCCAACATTCAATAAAACCGAACCGATCAAATCCAATCATCATCTAATTCTCTATCCAATTATCATCCAACTAATATCCAATTAATAGCTATATATAATTATCAACGTTTTACCATATTGGTTTTTAATTGATATTTTTATACATTTTTTTAATTACTCAAGAAAATATATAAATAATTTGTTGAAATGGTGGATTAATTGGATCAAAAGATTGGACAAATCCAATATGACCCGATAAATAACTGATAGTAACATCTAATGGATGAAATCGATCCGATTCAATAACCCATTGGATTTGGATCGAATCGAATATCCGATGTTAATCGGATCAGATCAGATCGGATCGAATGACAAAATCCAACATCGAATAAATGATTGAATCGGATCGGATCCACTTAAGGGGGTGTTTGGAATTGCTTATTTGAAACAACTTATACTTTTCTATAAAAGCACTCATCAACTTATTATAAGTCAGAAGAGTTTAACTTCTTCAAAAACTTCTTATTACTAATTTGATAACGGTATAAGTTGTTTATCCAAACACTCAAAAGTGCTTATTATTGATGTCATACCAGAATAAATCAATAAATTATTTTTATAAGCAATCCAAAACACCCATAAATCCATTAGATTTTAAGAGATTAAGACCAAGCTTTAAAAATTGAAGGAGGAGAGAAGAGAAGTGATCGTACACGCCTCCTATTGGATTCGTGAAGTAATTTGCTGCTAATAAAGGTTACGAATCCTTCAATCATCTCTCTCTCTCTCTCACTTTCTCTCTCTGGAATTATTTATTTTTATCATTATTTTTGTTTGTTTCATACTCGAAAAGATTGTCCATCGCGGCTTTTCCTTCACACAGGAAGCTAACAAACGCACAAGAACTTTCGAAGATCGCTGTTAGGATAATGTGTCGTTGAGAAAAAGCTTCAGAAATTTGGTTACTCCTTGTAAGAATCTTGGCGTTGAGGCTTCAAAAGAGGGAGAATTTCGGTGAACAGTATCATGTATGTTTGCTTTTTTTTTTTTTGTCGATAATTAGTGTAATTTGCTTCTGATTTTAAGTGGATTTAAACTGATGATGATTCTGCTTTGAGTTTTACTGATTTCGAGATTTTGTGTTTGCGTCAGTGAAGAGATTGATGGAGAATAATGTTGATATTGAAAGCGAGGGAACAGAGAAGATGGAGAGAAATGGATCGGCTTTTGATGAAAGAGATATGATACGAGAGCCACTGCTATTGAAGAGCAGAGTCAATACGACGTCGCAGATTGCCATCGTTGGTGCTAATGTTTGTCCCATCGAGTCTCTTGATTACGAGTAATTGCTAACTCTCACTCTTTCCATCGCATTCTTTCCATGTCCGATCTGTTTTATCATCTTTTTATTATCTTATCTTGACGTTAATTTTGTAAGCGGAAACCTTCTTTTTGCACCAAAACTCGTTGATTTACTGTTCGTATTTGTTGATTTCTATTTATAACCCAGGTATTGGGTTTATATATATGAACAGTTAGTGGATATGTTTAATAGATAATTGATCCTTTGCATATATGACAGAATATAGTAATACTTCACCAAAAGGGAAATCAACTTAAAAAGTGACAACAATATAAAGGTGCTTTTCTGAGTTTGTAACTTTTCCCTCATCATTGATTGCTTTTGGGACTTGTGATTTCGGAAGTGAATGATTTGCTCGGAGGGAAAAACTGAAAACTTAATTTAATTCACATGTTCATTGGGTTGACCTTGAATTTGACCTTCTTTCAAGGTGAATGAACCTTGAACAGGATGACAAATGGAACAGGAGTCGATATGGGTTTAAGTAAAGATACCAAATCTTGTAATTATATCCAAATCATTTACCCCAAATCTTGTGACGGTATGTATTTTAGTCCATATTTTATCATATACGTTGAGCTTTAATGAACCTCATGATCTGAAATTGTTTTGTTAATAAGATAATGAAAAAGTTAAAGCAACAATTTTGAATACAATAGATTGTTGTTATTGTCTGTTTGATGAGGAGAAACTTGCAGCATTATTTATGTACCTGAAACTGATGTTATCCTTTTGCTGCAATTTGATGCCAACTGTTTCTAACACATGGAAACATGACAATAATTCATAAATCTTGTATGATCTGTTTGGTTGGTTATGCTCTGTCGTCATCAATAATATGACTACTCTGAAAGCATTTCCGTACCACCATAACTTGATGTAAACCATATGACATTTACGGGTTATCAAAGATGCCTTTTGTGCTAGTGATGTTCTGAAATTCATCTTGCTACATAAAGGTTGTTCTATTACCGTATTGTTGTTGTTTTCTACTAATTATACTTTCAACAATCATCTTAATTCACAATTTCTGCAGAATTGTAGAAAATGATCTCTTTAAGCAGGATTGGAGATCCAGGAAGAAGGTACAGATATTTCAATATGTTGTCTTGAAATGGACGCTAGTACTTCTTATAGGATTAGCTACAGGGCTTGTAGCCTTCTTCAATAACATCGCAGTGGAGAACATTGCTGGATTCAAACTTCTTCTAACCAGCAATCTTATGCTTAAGCAAAAGTAAGCCTAAAATTTTGCCACCCTTTTGCTCTTATTAATGAATTGCGTCTGCTTTTTGTTAAAGGAAATGTTTGGCTTTTTTAAAACTTAAGGTAATTAGCTGGTAGCGGTTGATGTAACATTTGATTGTACTTTTATTACTACCTCCAACCTAAATTTTTGATGAGCTCTTCAAAAAAGTTATTGCTGATTGCCTGAAGTGAGAAGCAAAATATTCTATAGAGACTTGCTTAGTATTATCATCGTGACTTTTTCTAAGTCATGTAAGGTAACAATACCCAACCAAATACAGCTAGTAGCGGGATCCTGATTAATATCTTGAAAGGAAAAAAGTCAAAGGAATTGTGTGTTGCTGATCTAAACTTTTCATCTATTTTTTAGTATTGTATTGTGGTTTTACCTAGATTTGAGTATGTGGTGGTGTCACTGGGTGTCTACCTTTAGATAGCATACTGAGCACCTTACATCTAGTAGATGGTCACAATGAGCCTTTCTGCCGTTTGCCCGTAAATTGTGGAACCGAAAAGCTGAACCACATCTATAATAGCTCCTGGTTTTTTAAAGGAGCCTTGGCTATTTTACTGCTCCTAGGCTGCCACAAGCTTCATGGTTATCTTTATACATAAGGCATATTTTATTGATGGGTGGATTAAGTGTAAATGTTGGTTAGCTGTCTGTATTGCGTTTCTAAAAGCATTGAATTTTGCTATTACTTAAACAATTTTAGAACCAGCTTTTATACCTATGAAGCGACTAAGAATCTTTTTAACTCCAACTGCAGTTATTACCAGGCATTTGCAGCATTGGCTGGTTGTAATGTGGCTCTTGCAACTTGCGCTGCAGTTCTTTGTGCTTATATTGCCCCAGCAGCAGCTGGTTCTGGGATCCCTGAGGTTAAAGCTTATCTCAATGGTGTTGATGCCCATTCTATTCTGGCTCCAAGCACCCTCTTTGTAAAGGTGTGTACCATATGCATAATCATGTAGTCTCTCTCTCTCTCTTCTCCCCTCCCTCTTTAACTCTGTTTTTGGCACATAAAGCTTGTTAGCTCATTACTAACAAAATGCACTCAAATATTACTTTATGAACCTCAATTTGCCTACTTAATTGCCTACACTCTGAAAAGCTCAAAGACTTCAGATTATTTGTGGTAAATATCGAAACCAATTATGACAATGAGATAATCGAGTTTACGAACTAGTCTTTTGCTCCTCTCTGGAACATTGAAAAACCAACCACCATCTAAATATATCTTGACATTCGGGGTCATTGGAGATCTATTTTACCGAAGTCTAAAAATTGTCAATCTTACTTAAGATGCCCAATGGCATACTTATTCCAAAAGGATGTCTTTTGTGAAACCTAACTACCTCAGTAACCAAGAAGTATTGACACCCGCCAAGTCTTTTGTACATAATTTCTTTGAAATATGAAATTCGGAAGCTGTATGATTACAATGTCATGTACCTAGAAAGCCTGAAACCATTTTATTTTCATGACCGTAGTCAATAGGCTATACCTATACCTGGAGTCTATTTTCCCTGGAGCTTGCTAAACATGATAATAAAACCCGAGCTTGTTTAAAACCATACAAAGACCTAGTCAACCAATGAATCCTGAAAGCCTCCTCTTGGACCACAGAAGTAGGAGATTAATTCGTTAGCATACCAAATGATACATGTAATGCTTCAGTGCTCAGCAATAGAAGTAACAGAACACATCCCATCATGATACTTGGAATGGCAAAGCACACAACCATTGAGTTCTAAAACTGGTTCAAGTAATATGCATATTCCCTTCTTGGGTTGTTACGATATTCTCTGCCAAAACCTCGAACGAAGTGATTGAGAGAAACAGTGAACCAAAATAGCCAAATTGAAAACTGTACTACATACATCTCCGTCTGGGGGACAAACATAATTCTTTCAATCTATGAGGGCTAAATAAGAGAGTACTAAAATCTGGTTCTTTCCTTTGCATTACTTAAAAATAAAATGCACTTCACATGTACACAATATAAATTGCTATACGATCTCCCATGTCAGTAAGTCAGCATATTATGAGTCCACATCAGGTGCTCATTTTTACCAATCATCCACATCATTATTCACTTCCATTTGCCACATGTGATGTGATCAGAGTTACTTAAGCATCAGTTATATCAAAATGCAAGTTGTTGCTGCTTCAGTCCTGTGTAGGTTTGGATTCAAATCACAACAATTGAACAGAGATTTAGAGTTTGAGAATCAGCAGATGACATAATGCAACAACAATTGAGGATTCAAAAAATCAACCGGCTAGGGTTACAAGAACGATGAAACTTTCTAGTAGCAATTGCCAGCTAGTGTTCCAAGAACAATGAGTCGAACGGAAGCACTTCTCTGTCAATTTAAGATTGTTGGAACCTCAGATTACAATTGTAATCTTAAAGTGGGGTGAGATGGCAGCGCGAAGTGGTGCCTGTCTGGTAGAGATAACAAATAAAGGTGATGCTGGCTATGGGATTGTGGTTTGTTTGTTGGAGCTAGGTTGATACCAAGATTCCATAGTGTTGCTCTTCAAAAGCATGCATTTCCCATTAAGCGAGGTGGGACTGTATGGTGTACAAAGCAGTCCAATGGGCCAAACAAAAGGAGTAAGTCTAGCCATGATTTAAAGATAAAATTCATACTAAAATGACACAATCTTTCTGTATATAGAATACTAGACATGTGTGCAACTTGGCACTAGCCATCCTCATGCTACTACCGATCTTAAAATTTGTGTAGGTGTTTCCTTGTAATGTAATATTTCTCTACACTTAAGCTCTTATGATATGTTACCGCTTTTCGGTTATAATTTTGCAGTTGATGCTGATAACAGACCTGCAGATTATTCTGATGAGGGCCTTATTAAAATGTTTTTGTTTTCATATAAGTCTGAAATCCCTCATTTTGATAATTGCTCAGATTTTTGGATCAATTTTTGGAGTTGCTGCTGGATTTGTTGTGGGAAAAGAAGGACCCATGGTTCACACTGGTGCTTGCATAGCCAACTTACTTGGACAGGGAGGTTCTCGCAAGTATCATATCACATGGAATTGGCTTAGATTTTTCAAAAATGATAGGGACCGAAGGGATTTGATCACATGTGGAGCTGCTGCTGGTGTTGCGGCTGCCTTTCGTGCCCCAGTCGGTGGAGTCCTCTTTGCTCTTGAAGAAGCAGCCTCATGGTCTCTCTCTCTCTCTCCCCTTCCTCCCTGGAAATAATTATAAAATAGAAGAACACACTTATTCATATGAAATGATTACAAAACTTAGTGGAGCATCATTAGAAATAGAAGCAAGTATTATTGGTCAATTCTTTGTTGATTGATCCACTGGATGCTTGGAGTTATAAAAAATCCAATGGTCATGAAAGATGGACCAATTCTAGTAGTGTACATGTTTCTGGAATATCTAATCTCATTCTCAATATCTTCTAGGTGGCGGAGTGCTCTTCTTTGGAGAACTTTTTTCACTACTGCTGTAGTGGCTGTGGTTTTGAAGTCTCTCATAGAATATTGTAAAAACGGGCAGTGTGGGTTATTTGGGGACGGAGGTCTCATCATGTTCAATATCAATAATTCCATACCTGCTTATAATACCATAGATCTCCTGGCCATTATGCTACTTGGAATTATTGGAGGAATTTTTGGAAGCATCTACAATTATCTTGTTGACAAGGTCTTGCGTACTTATAGCATCATCAATGAGTAAGCACTTGTCATATTTTCTACTAGTCTTTCTTTTTACATAAAAAACATACATCAATATTATCTTCTTTATATTTTTGAAGAAACCACTCTAATCCTTAAGATTACTTGCAGATTGGCACATCTTAGAAAATGTCATGCACAGAAGAATATTTTTTTCAATGATCAGATGATTCTAAATTTCTTTTGCTGATTCTTGAAATAAATTGCAGGAGAGGTCCTGGTTTTAGGGTGCTTCTGGTCATTATCATTTCAATCCTAACTTCTTGTTGTGCCTATGGTGTTCCCTGGCTTGCAAGGTGCATTCCTTGCCCCTCAAATTTGAAGGAAGAATGCCCCACGAAAGGCCGTTCTGGGAGCTACAAAAGCTTTCAATGTCCAGATGGTCACTATAATGATCTTGCTTCCCTTTTACTAACCACCAATGATGATGCCATTCGAAGCTTGTTCAGTTCCCTTAATACAAATGAATTTCGCATAACTAGTCTTATTTTCTTCTTCGTTGCCATGTACTTCCTCGGAATCATAACATATGGCATTGCAATTCCTTCTGGGCTCTTTATCCCTGTAATTCTTGCTGGAGCATCCTATGGCCGTCTTGTTGGCAGACTCCTTAGTCCCATTGCCAATCTTGATGTTGGTCTCTTTGCCTTACTTGGAGCTGCCTCATTTCTTGGTGGCACAATGAGAATGACAGTATCCCTCTGTGTTATACTTCTTGAGCTCACTAATAATCTTCTCATGCTTCCATTGATGATGCTCGTCCTCCTTATTTCAAAAACCGTGGCCGATTGCTTCAACAAGGGAGTCTATGACCAAATTGTAGTAATGAAGGGATTACCGTTTCTAGAAGCACATGCTGAGCCATATATGAGACAGTTGGTGGCAGGTGATGTTGTTTCCGGGCCTTTGATAACTTTCTCTGGTGTCGAGAAAGTGGGTAACATTGTGCATTCGTTAAGGATGACATCACACAACGGTTTTCCAGTTATTGATGAGCCACCTATTTCTGATGCCCCTGAACTATGTGGGCTTGTTTTGAGATCTCACTTGCTTGTTTTGCTCAAAGGAAAGATATTCACGGCACATCGGCGTTTGAGTGGAGCTGAAACGTTAAAAAGGTACCATGCCTTTGATTTCGCAAAGGCAGGGTCGGGGAAAGGCCTCAAGCTCGAGGATTTGGAGATTAATCCCGAGGAGATGGAGATGTATGTTGACCTCCATCCTATCACCAATACATCACCATATACCGTGGTCGAGACCATGTCTCTAGCAAAAGCTGCGGTTGCTTTTAGGGAGCTCGGCCTTCGGCACTTGTGTGTAGTGCCAAAGACTCCTGGGGTAAGCTTTACTTTTTCTCTCTTCTTTTACATGATGTGGCTTGTTAGACTAATATCATGTTAATTAGTTATTATGTATTCTAGTATTAGGTATATATGGCCTTCCTTTTCCTTTTGCTCTGATACCATATTGAATGATTAGAAGTTCTCATTAAAACCATAAAGAGGAGCACAGATTTGAGAGCCAAAGCTTGGCTAGGTTTCCTAAGATTGAACTACGAAAAAGAACAATATAAACCTTGAGGGTCAACTTAACCGACAAATAAAGCTAGGTTTTAGGGCTCCTTCCCATACGTCGTTAATTCGAGTTTCCACTGGGCCATCGGAGATTTTCCTGCTTGTTATGGATTAGTCGCAAGCTGGCCATGAGTATAAAAAAGAACAATACAAAATAAAGAAGAAAAAGGAAACCTATATATGCCTAATACCAGAATACAGAAATGACAAAACTAGTCCCTAGACCATACGTAATAACTAATTAACATAACACTAGTCTAGCATGGCTCATTGGTGTCGATCCCTCTCACAAGTTGCCACACCCGATATCCGTGAGTCACCTATCCCTATCGTTCTGGTCACTTTGCTCTTGCACACGGGTTTATTTGACTTGCAAACATGAAATGATGCCAAAGGGTCACTAGGCCTGTGGTATTCGGGTTACGGGTAGAGTCCAACATCCAAAGAGCTCAAGGGTTCAATTCTCACCAAATTTAGAAGTATATGCGAGTATTCTCCATGTATAAATATTATATACTTCGAAAAGAAAAGAAAAAATATGAAATGATTCTTGCTTTGATAACGGGTATTTAGTTAAATGAGTGTGTTTATAACCCGTCTTTGGTGTTAAACACCCTATCCCTGGTAAAATTTTGAAAAAAAATTGACTCTCATAAAAGGTCATTTAACAAAATAGCCCCTTCAATGTCATCATATTAAACCTCTAGAGCTTCATATGTAATCATGTAAGTTGCCCTTCCCGACATGGGACTGCCAATATCAACATCCCACTTTTGTTCTTCATTTACATATTTTCGTTCACCAAAATCACCGGAAAGTAACAATGACGAATCCTATGTCTCGTGATTTTGCAGAGGCCACCAATAGTTGGTATCTTGACACGGCATGATTTCATGCCAGAGCACATTTTGGGACTCTACCCACACATCGACCCACACAAGTAGATGAGGAGGAGTAAACCGGGAGCTACCATCATACGAAGGCAGCATTGTGTGTCTATCACTGTTATGAATTCATGAGACTACATGATGCGGTTTCGTCAAGTGTCAAATATGCCGGTAACGTCAACAAAACATGGTCTTGATCTGGGAATAATGTTATTCTTTAATGAAGTGCAAAAATAAATTTTAAAAATATTGGTTTGAAAGTGTTTATTTTTATTCTTTGTACTTTTTTTTGAGGGAGAGAAGGAGAAAAATAGAGGGTTGTATGGATGTATTATTGATTGTAGGCAGTGGAGATCGTATTGTTTTCCAATTATAAGAACATAAACTTAAACTATATGTCAATAATATGTTGTGATAAGTTTCTCTTTTAACTAACCCACTTCACTCTTCCTTTCACAACCGTCACATCCATTTCCAATATATGTAATCGGAAAAAAAAAACTGAGCAATACCCTGTAAACCGTTCATTTAGACGGTATACACGTGTGAATACAATAACTTGTAAGCAACTTGTAAGATACACGTGTACAAGGAAACCAAGAAACAACTTAATTACTTGTATGTACATGTGTATACTGTTTAGATGAACGGTTACTAGGGTGTTCCTTAAATTTTTCATTTTTCTACATTTTCATGAAAACCAAATGTATACGTATATATCTTATTTGGAGTAAGGTTTAGGTGTAGAATGTATGTTTTTCACAACCATTTGGACTTAGAAAGACTGTTTCGAGGAAAATCTTGAATTTGTAAAAGGTTGTGAAGAGAGTTACATCTAACAAAGGTGGTGGGTAATATGTAAGTGTAAATCACAGTTACATTTACCTCACCAATCGATTAGTATAGTGAGCATTGAAAAAGAAAACATAAACATAAACTTAAATCTCCTTTTCCCACTCCATGGATGACAAAATTTGATCCACCACCTTTAGCCATGGGCACACACCAAACCTCTCGAAAGAGGACCATTTAGAATAAGAGGTCTGATTAAGCGGCCGTTTACCAAACGCTTACTCGGGTAAGTGAATACCAAATCATTGTACTTTACCGGATGAATATGGTAAGGATAAAAAATTTATGAGATGTGTATGAAAAACAAATATTTTTTTAGAATAGTTCAGATTGATTTATCTTCTGCATCTGAACAAATGTTTAGAAATGAAAAAATAAGTTTTCATGATCTTTTCAAGTATGGATTACTTTGCGGACTAATCCTATCTGATATTGATCAAGTTAATTGGCTTCCAGTTCGAGTAATTGAAGCTATTAAAACGGTCAAAACTTATGATGATTATCTCATCTTGGTGGACATTTATTCTTCACCACCAAAATTTTGGAAATCTGAGCCTAAGCCTAGTTGTTCAGTCATCAAGATACTATCAAAGAATTTCTCTTCAGATTGGGAAGACAAATTGTTACTTCATTGTCCCAACTGGCAATATATTTCTGGACAATCTATTGATGAAGTAAAGATATGGTATTATCATGTTTATTACTCAGACTTCTTTTGGAACTCTGAAGTATTAACATCTGAAGAATATTCACTCTTTGGAGAGACTCCTACAGTCAAGATTTATATTCCATCTGCAATTGCTGCCTACACATTTCTCAATTTCTATAATGATGATGAAGAAGCAAAAGACAAATGGAGAATATTTTTCAAAGAAAAAGCTCTCAAAAGACTGGCCGACAAATTTCTGTAAAGCATAAAGATACACCTGTTATCTTAACAGCTGTATATGATGATGGTGGCAGACAAAGACAAAGACAAAAAGCATCTTGCTTTTTTAAAGTATGAAAATTGTGGCATACTTTTCAGTAGTGCTCCCAACTTTTCACTGTTTATATGTTGAATTTGTATCCGGTATTAGCCTTCGGTAGCCGGTTGTTTTTGCTTTTCCTTTCCTATAAATAAGTTTCTCTTGTAAGTGTTTGAACACACCACAACACACCGAAAATTCAGATCACCTACATAGAGAGAGAAAAATATTAGAGAGTTTCAAATATTGTAAGTTTGAAGTTTAGTTTGTAAGCATCTATTTCTGTAATCAACCGACTGTATAAATACAAGGTTAGTTTTTATGGCAGGCTAAGCCTCTTATTAGGAAGTTATTTCATGTTGTAAAATATTTATAAGTGTTATCTGTTTAATCTTTATTTATGAGGATAAGCTCTTTAAAATCTATATCATAAAGATATTTGGTTAATATTAGTTCATACTCATGCCAGGAGTATATCTGTCAGGCTTCATGCCAAACCTCTGGGATTTGTCCTAGTTGTAATTTTAAGAAATTATTTTAATAAAAATTTGAGAAAGCTAAAATTTTCTTTAAAAACAAAAGACGTAAGGATGTTTAAATTCAGAAAAAGTACCCGTTGTTAGCAATGAATGCGTTTTAGGGGAAAAAGTATGAACTAATCTGAAAAGGTGAGTTTTTAAATAAATTTTTATCCATCTTTCTTAGACTCTTTATTAAAAATTGTTCTTAAGAAGTGATAATATTTCTACCAAATGGGTGTTATGATATATGAAAAATAAGATCTTATCCCTATAAATTTTGATTAAAAAGATAATATGTATAAATATTTATCAACCTCTGATAATAGCTTTCTAATTCTTTCTTCTTGTTTGAATTAAATATTTAGTCTAAATCCTGATGTTTAGCATTAATTCATATTTTCCTCACTATAGTAAATGTCCTCATCCTGATCCTTTACATACTCTTATATGTGGATGTCCTTGTGGATGTTATTGCTTTGTTGATTATGAAATATTTAAATCCGAAAATCTCAAAAAGAACCTAACGTACTTATTAGCTTCTGATGTTCTAACTCTAGATGTAAAACATTATATTGCAGGAAAAGTTTTTAAAGACATCAATAAGTTTATAGGAAATTTTTATTTTAATCTAAAAATAGATAATAAAACTAAAGATGCTGCTTTTGACCTCTGTCAAAATGATAATTGGATTTTTGCTTTCAATGAAGAAAATATTTATTTATCTTTAGTAGAAAATGATATATTTAATGAATGTCTGTTGAATCTTTAGATGTTTAACCTCTTTGAGACCCAGACCTAGTGTCTAAAGAACTGTGTTTTCTTTACACACTAACAAACTGCGTTGCAGCCCAACCCCTTTTTATTGGTATCAGAGCTTGTGCTTAAATTTATTTAAGTATTAAGTTTGTTTAGTTTATGAATAGATTAGAGTATCTAAATCTAGAATTATCTCAGTCAAGTAGAATTGTTACTTCCTTAGATAATAATAGTATTAAGTGTTGTTTTTATAAAGAGTCTGTTAATCACATTTTTCATAGTAGTAATTMGCAGCTTAATGTGCTTGTTGATTTAATTACAAATCTTGGAAAAAATCTTGAAATAAATCAGAATAAACATTCCCATCATTGGCAATATATTCATGATTTATTAGTTAAGAAAGACAGAGCTATTCTTAATTTAGAGAATAAATTAGAATGCCTCAAAACAACTTTTTCTTTTTTGGAAGAAAAACTTGTGAGTTTTGAAAAGAAATACAATTTTTTGATTAATAGTCAGGCTATTTCAAAAGATTATATTTCTCAAGAAAAAGTTCTTGCAGTTTTGGAAAAATCCCAAGATCAGTTTGAAAAAAATTAAGTTTCATTTAGAACAAATTGAAAAATTGGTTCGAAGTTAAATGAACTTAAAATTTGAAGGTAAAGTACTTGAAGAAGCTTATAAGTTTTGTAACCAACAGAATTTGCCAAAACCCATTGGTTATTCTGAGACAAGTAATATTGCTTCAGAATCAAACAAATTGGTTATTTCACAAAACAATATAATTATCTCTCTTTTAGTATCTTTACATCACAAAGTTGATAAACTCACTTTTAAAGAAGATCTAAATAATCTCATTGGGAATTTTTCGAATCTTTCAACAACTTTTGAAAAGAAAACTACTCCTAAAGTTAAAACAAATTTTCTTGTTTACAAGCAAAATGGCAGTTAGAACTCCTTTCCTTGGTAGATCCAGAACTATCAATGAAAATGATTCTACTGAAAATCACATATCTCAGATGATTGGACAAGAAACTAGGCTAAACTTCACTACCCTAGGAAATTTATTTGCTCGAAGACCTTCTAATGCTTCAAGACTTGAAGATATGATTAATGTTGATAGAAGTATGCAACTTCTCAGCCATAATCAGTTAGAAGCCTTCAATCCTACTAGACTTTATTCTACTGGGATGTTTGAAAGAAACTCTGGTCTTTTTAGACACCATAGTTTACAAATGCTTGCTGTACCACAAGAAAGAGTTGTTTCTATTAATTTAATGACTAGAGAAGCTAGTATTAGATTAAAACAAACCAGCAGAAATACTCTACACTTTGGACTTTTAACTATTGCAGTTAAAGGATATCATAGAACTGGTGCAGGAACAAAAGCCTTGTTAGTCTTGATTGACAATAGATTTTCTAATCTTGATCAAGCTATTATAGGAACAATGGAAATTGATTTAAATAACAATATAGGTGTTGCTTATATTGCTCCTCAAAACTTTTCATTAAGTGTTAGTGATTTTTGTAAGCATGTTACTTTGCAAATCCAAACACTAGGATATGAAAACTTTATAGGAATAAATATTGGAGTAGAAATTGTGTTTTTAGGAAGACTAACTGGAATAATGGGAAGTCAGTATAATGTTGATATTGACTCAATCATACAGACTTTGTCTTCTAGAGGAATACAAATGATACCCCCAGTTCACATTGATTCTCAAACCATTGCTGGAAGTGAATGGACCATTCCATTTCACAGAGAACCAACCACTATTGTCCCCACAAGTTATGTCTCTTACATCAACCCTAGTGGATCTAAATCCCTGAGATTTAGAAATTATAAGGACAATGCCTCATCTTCACATATTGATGATGAAACTGAACTACTGATGAAGACCCTCATAGATCTTCCACTAGTTTTATGAATATTGAATTAAGTGATGAATGGGATACATTAGAAGAAGACTCTAAGTACTTTGATTCTAGTAACCCAAATGAAATCAAACCCTTTTTAGTCAAGTATACTCCTCCTGAGTCAAGCAAGATTAAAATTGAAGATATCAAACCTACTGGATGGAGTAAGATAGATCATAAAAAATTTTACCCCAAAGAATTATTTAGTTATACTCTTGATCCTAAGGAGATTGATGAAATGGAAGTTCTTCTTAAGAAACAAGGACAACTTCATGAATCACAAATTATCTATCAAGATGATTTAGGAAATATAAGAATAACTCCAAAAGATGAAGATYCTTTGGACTCTTTCTTATCAGATTCTGTAGAGACCATTAATTTTGCTCTCATGAATGAAGGAAGTGGATCCTCTGTTAC